CCCAACATAATGTCAATGTGGCGTCGGTACACCAGTTGTTAGGCTACATGACTCATAATCGTGAGGTTGCCAGTTCGGAGCACTGAGCCCAAGGCCCGACGTTTAGCACCTATGGGACAGGATTAACTGTGCTGCTCGTGACGTGAATCTATTCCGCTCTAATTACCGATCGATTGCGCAGCGCATTTCAACGATCGTATAATTGTATCATACTTTTGATCTCTTCAGTTATCATACTTTTGATCTCTTCAGTTTCATATATTTTTTATAAAGACCTTGCCTCGCCTCTAAAATAACCTAATAGTGTTCATAGGGGCGTTTAAACCTATACCGTTTCACCATTTTCACTGATTCCTTCCCCCACCCATCTCTCCCTCCCTCTCTCTCTCCCCACTCTCCTTCCCCCTACCCTTCTCTCTTTCTCTCGCTTTCGCTCTCACCCTCTCCCCCCTCCCCTTCCCCCCTTTCTCTCCACTCTCTCTCTCACTCTCACCTTCCACCCCTCTTTACCCACCCCTCTCCCCTCCCTCTCTCCCACCCCCTCTCCCCCTCTCCTTCACCATTCTCATTCCCTCCCCTCTCCCCCTCTCCCTCCGCTCCCTGAAGCGTTCCCCTGCTCCAAGCCGGCGGACGTGGTGTTCCTCATCGACGGCTCCTACTCCATCACGGCTCAGGACTGGGTCAAGGGCAAACAGTTCGTCTCCTACCTCATCAACAGCATCGACATCGGCATCAGCTCTATCCGGGTGGGCATCATCGTCTACGGATCCGGCATCGGCGACGTCGTCTCACTAGAGCCCTTCAGAGGTGAGTCCATCATCATCATCATCATCATCATCATCATCATCATCATCATCATCATCATCATCATCATCATCATCATCATCATCATCTTCATCTTCATCATCACCATCTTCATCATCATCATCATCATCATCGTCGTCGTCATCATCATCATCATCATCATCATCATCATCATCATCATCATCATCATCATCATCATCATCATCATCATACTGTTTTAAAGTTTAAAAAAGTACTTGAAACTTAAATAGGGTTGGTCACATTTAGTCAGGTGTTCGTATAGGCTTGGATGTCCAACGTTTCGCAAGTAAGACATCATCAGGAACATAGTGTCACGTTGTGTTTTAAAATTTGAAGAAATATACTTGAGACTCGAATAGGGTTGGTCATCATCATCATCATCATCATCATCATCATCATCATCATCATCATCATCATC